CCTGCCTCTGCCTCCCAAGTGCTGGGACTATAGGTGTGCACCACCACACCCCGCTCATTTTATTTATTATTTTCATTTTATGTGTACGAGTGTATTGCGTGCAATGTGTGTGAGTGCACCCGTGTTGTGCAATGCCATGGAGGTCAGAAGAGGGCTTCAGATTCCCCTGGAACTGGAGTTAAGGATGGTTCGTAGCTGCCATATGGGTGCTGGGAATCGAACCCAGGTCCTCTGCAAGAGCAGTCAGTGCTCTTAACCGCTGAGCCACCTCTCCAGCCCCTTAAATATTTTTAAAATTATAGCACGTTTAATTCTATGTATCACTTGAAAGTACTAAGAAATGACTATATTCACCATGAGATTTTATTTAGTATATGCTTTCTACTTATAAAGTTTACTGTAAAATAATTGCTATGTTATGCCAGCAGCAGCCTCATCTATCTTACGTTCAGCTTCTTACCCTTGAGAGGCCATGTCCAATAACTGGTCTATGACACTTGTACAGTGATGAAATATCTAATGATGCATTCTTCAGAATGTGTCCCCTGGTTAAACAATGCATGACCACATGTATCATATTTTATGATAGCTATATCATATATATATGTATAACTTCATTATTCAAGTCTTTTGCTCTTCTATTATCTAGTTAAAATTACTCCTCACTGTCCTGACATGTGGACATCATGCACTTTGAGCATCAGTACTCTTATTTTTCAAAGAAATATATGTTTTTATTTATGTATATGAATGTTTTGCCTACATGTATGTATGTGCCAGAAGAAGGTGTCAGATCTCCTGAAAGTGAAATTACAGATTTGTGAGCTGCCATGTGGATGCTGGAAATTAGAACCTGGATCCTCTGCAAGAGCAGCAAGTGCTTTTAACTGTTGAGCCATCTAGATCTTCAGCATTTTATACATAAAGCAACTAAATCCAGAGAAGCTAACAGATTTGCTCCAGATCATTTGTTTAGTAAATTCTCTATCCACCTGAGTTCCTGGCTTTCTGACTCCTAGCTCAGTGTGTTTGCCATTATACATGGCCTGGCCCATTCTTTATCTGATAGACACAACTTGTTAGAGAACTGCACCCCCTCCACTCCCTGACTACCACTAGACTATATGCCTCTTGGGGATGAAAATCATTCATACTTGTTCTGCATGCCTTAAAATGTCCAACACAGGCTAGATACCTTGCATGTTTGTGGTCCACTAATTCCTACTGGCTGACTAAATTACTATCTATAGAGGAGTACTACAAACTATAAGATGGAACTATTATTACTGAAAGGAAATTATTATTACAATTGCAATTATTTATTTGAAGTAAGAGGCTGGTAGATTGAAAGTGGTGCCATCAAAAAGACCCAAAGAAAGAAAAGGAAGGAAGGGAGGGAGGGAGGGAGGGGGGAAGGAAGGAAAAACAAAATGGTACCTGTTACAGTAGAAACCAGGTGTTAGTTGGGATTAGAATTTCAGGGCCAGCTGTCTGCAGACATACACTGCTACAGCAGGAAGGGTGATGATAACACAGAGTCACCTCAGTCCATCAGATAGAAACCATGAGACAATGGACCATGTACTAAGCAAAATCCCTTTGAGGCTTAGACTAAAGTTAATGAACCAGTTAGCTGTGCTGAAAGTCACGTTATGATTAAGCAGGTGATGGGGGTTTAGAAAAGTCTATCAGGGTCTGATTAGTCCGTAAGGTGGTTATCCAGAGTCAGCATGATGGTGTATAGCTTGTACAGTCACACAGGAATCTGCACTCAGGAAGGCCCATGCTGAGTCTGGTATTCTTCTGTCACCACACTGAAATTCTTAATGAGTATAAACAAGGGGACTCACAAATTAAGTTGCTGCTCTTGCAGTTACTATTACTGAAATTTGTAGTGTAATACACAGACATAATTCTGAGTTATTTGCAGATCAATGGGTGATGTGGAAGTGGCTGATTTTTTTTTCAGTTAGAAGAGAGAATGTAACCATTTGCTAAGATTGTGCAGTTAACTCAATGCTAATCAAAATTTGGGCTCTCACCACCATCTGCCTGATTTCTTCATCAATCCCATCACCCTTTTCTCCTGGTCTGTTTCATCCATTACCTGTACCTACTCACCCATATGTGACCCTTACCTAAACATCCCTTTTTTCAAAAAAAAAAGCTAAGGATGGCAGGATGTGTGTGTACACATGGATACATCACACATCAAAGCCCACCCTTTTGTTTGTTTGTTTTGTATATAGCCTGATGAATTCCTGGAGTTTAAATCAAATTAAATCCCCCCCCTTTTTTTTCTTTTTTCTCCTTCTTCCTCCCATCCCCCAAAATCCTCCTTTTTTTGGTTTGTTGTTTTGTTTTGTTTTATTTGAGACAGGATCTCCCACAGCCTAGACTGGGTACATGGTTGAGGCTGACCTTGAACTCTTGAACTCCTGGTCTTCTGCCTCCACCTCCCAAATGCTGAAATTACAGCTGTGCCCCACTATATTCTATATTCCCTTTGCCCCCCACCCATTTCTACCTCAACAAGCCTTGTTGTGGCATCTAAAATATTGCTGGGAAAGAGGGAAGGTGGTGTTTATTGTTGACGTACAATGTGTGTAGTCCCATGGTACACATTTGCTTTTTTGACACTTTTTACCTTGTGTCACCACATACATCATAGAACTATAGGTCAGAGTTTAAAGAAACACTAGAAGCCATCTATTCCAAACTGAGCATGGTGGCACATACTTTCAGTCCCAGCACATGGGAAGCTAATGCAAGAGAATCATTGTGAGTTCAAGGGCTAGCCTGTGCTACATAGTAAGTCCAAGGCCAGCCTGGGCCACACAGCAAGCGATCCAATCTTAAAAACACCACACTCACAGTGGGGCATGGTGGTGCACGCCTTTAATCCCAGCACTCGGGAGGCAGAGGCAGATGGATCTCTGTGAGTTCAAGGCCAGCCTGGTCTCCATAGCTAATCCAGGACAGCTGGTGCTACAAGGAGACCCTGAAAAAAAAAAAAAAAAAAAAAAAAAAAAAAAACACTAAATAAATAAATAAAATCATCCATTCCAATCACTTTCCCTCTCACTTTACAGAAGAGACAGCTGTCCAGTTAGAAGAATCCAGCTGTCCAGTAAGGTCATAAACTCTTCTCCTAAGAAATATGGCTATGTCCATGACCATGCATGACCTGTGTATATATGCATGCAGTCAGTGGGTGGGGCAAGAGCAGCTGGGATTATGCTTGGTCAAACATACCACTCTGTGTTGTTGACTGCATCCCCAAAACCTGGTGTGTCCACAATGGTGAGCCGCAGCCTCACACCCTTCTCTTCTATATCCACTGCATGTTTAGTAATCTCCACGGTTTGCATGATCCGCTCTGAAGAAGGGGGATACTGAGGTAAGGGCAAGGGCAGGAACCTGCCCAGTCAGAAAAACTGCCCACCCCAGCCAGTTTTGCTGCCCAGACTGCCCCCCTTCCCACCCCCAGGCGCCTGAAGGCCTGTTCTCTGGGAACTAGCAAGAAGCACATTTCCCAACACAGGAAATGCCGGTGGCTGTTGGCTCAGGCCCCAGCCTCTTTTCTGCTTCAGGCTTTTTTCTTGGATTCCTGGAATCCTTTTGTGGGGTCATAGACTCATCCAGGGACCAGAATTCTGATCCCTGCTCTGCTTTAGCACCCAAGTCTTCAGGGAGCTAGCTGCTGGACTTCTAGGCAGATAGGCATGTAGAGAGATGCCATGAGTTCCTCTAGGAAGCCAGGGCTTCCAGTATGTTGGAGAGGGCCCCATCTCCCCAACATCCACACTCTGTAGTGAGTTTAGCTTCTTACTCCTTTCCTTACCTTCAGCACCGAGGAGTTTCCGATCCCGGTACAGATCAGTGAGGAATAGGCTATTGACCAAAGTGGATTTACCCAGGCCAGATTCTCCTGACAGGAGAGAAGACAGATGCACCAAGTCAGAAAGTAAGCCCCACCTGACCAAGATCTGAGGCAAACTGCTGTCTTGTCATCTGTAACTAAACTAACCAAAGTCCAGTATTTTAGAGCTGAAAGGAAGCAGACAGATCATGCAGCCATCTCATTTGAATGAAGCCAAGAGAGCAAGAGATTGCCCAAGGTAACAAGGAAAGATAAAAATACTAGAAAATTGGGCTGGAGAGATGGCTCAGCGGTTAAGAGCACTGACTGCTCTTCCAGGACCTGGGTTCGATTCCCAGCACCCACATGGTGGCTACAAACTGTCTTTAACTCCAGTTCCAGGGGAATCTGAAGCCCTCTTCTGACCTCCGCGGCATTGCACGACAGGTGCACTCACATACACACAGGCAATACAATCATACACATAAAATGGAATTAATAAATAAAATATTCTAAAAAATACTAGAAAATTGTTGGTTAAATGCACCACTTCACATACACCCAGTCTGCACATTTTTGGCCATAAAAGACTTGCACAGCCATTTGCTGCTTATTCCTTCACTACTATGCCCTCTTCTCCATACACACCAACCCCACCTGAAATACCTCTTGCCCAGCCTAGCTCAGCCCTGCTCCTTCCTACCTGCCACCATGAGTGTAAAGTCAAAGCCTTTCTTCACAGACTTCCGGTGGACTTGGTTGGGAAGGGTTGCAAAGCCCACATACTCCTTATCATCCTAGTGGACAGAAAGGCAGAATCCATCAAGGTGAGAAGTAGAACCCAGCACCAATCTTTTTCTCTTCTCGGTCTTTGCCCCATCCATTTGAGGCCATGGGCCAGGGCTTTTTCCCCTGTTGTTTCTTCCAGTTTTCAGTGCCTTAAGGGCAGAAACCATAGATCTAGGGCTGACACAGGTCAGAAAGAGGCCCTAAGGACACACGTGCACATGCCCACACGCCTACCCCAGGCTCTCTTTGTGCCCTCCCTGGGTCTTCCTGCACCCACCCAACTGAATGGCAAAGGCAGGGCTGGAGGCTCTACCTCAGAGGAATCATAAGGATCAAGCTTGCCCCATGGGCTGCGGGGCCGAGCAGAAGGGCTGAGAGGGGCTGGGGCATAGAAGTACTGCTGGCTGTCAGAGGATTGGGACCACAAGGTGGGTCTAAACTCCAGATCATCATCACAGAGGTCCGGGGCCTGGGGCCTTGGCTCCAAGATTTGGGGCCTGGACACCCTGGTCTTGGCCTCTGGCTGGTGGCAGTGCTCGCTTCCTGGGAAATCCTTCACGAACTTGCTCAGTTCTGCATCATCACTGGTGTCCTCCAGGAAACGCTTGATCTGGGGGTTGGGGTGGGGCAGAATAGATGGGAGGTAACAGAAGGGAGCAGGAAGGGAAGAATGATGTAGAAGACAGGAGAAGGTAAAAAGGAGAGAAGGAAAGTGTGGTTAGAAGGGAAACAGCAGCCAAGCCAGAGGAAGTGCTCACACCTACACCCACACACACCTGCTCACTGGCGTTCCCAAGCCAAGAGACTGGGAAGGGAAGGCCTCAGAGTCCAGGAGGACCCCTGGTCAGCCCTACAAAGCCCTTTTCTCCCAGCAGGTTCTCACTGAGGCTGCCCTTTCTGGAAGTCTAGACTAGCCAGGAGCCAGTGACTTGTCAAAGGCCAAGAAATCAGACTGAATATGAAAGAGGGAAACAGAGGCCTGAGATCTGAGAGTATGGCTCAAGTCTAAAGGAGAGTGGAGTCAGAAAAGGGCAGGGGCATAGGCCAGCAGGGTGTGGAGAAGGGAGCTTGTTCTCCAGGCAAGTGAAGAGACAGCAAAGAGCTCAATGACTGTCACTGCTGGTCAGGGAGCTGGGAACCCAGGTGCAGATTTTATTGAAGGCTCACTCTCCCTGTTTGCTGCCCAAGATTCAGTCCCACTGACCCTACTCTTAATCTAGAATCTGGCCCTAAGCTGCAGGAGCAAAGGGTAAACCTCCTGGAAAATGCTGAATTTGGAGGGCAGCCAGGAGAAACCAGGTGATAGACGATAGGAAAACACTGGAGGAGCTTGAGAGGGCTTAAGCATGGCTAGACCTGCATTATGACTGCTATAAGCTTCCCTAGCATATCCCCTTTCCTTTTGGGGTCAGCACCATTTGTGGGGTGCCTGGCAGTGCTGGGCTCAGCTCTGCCTCACAACAGCCACGTGCCACCCCCAAACAATGGACAAGGGCCAGCTGCAGAGTCTGAGTCACCCTCTGGGGGCTGGCCAAGCCAGTGGGGGCTATCCTGGACCACTTGTGGAGCCTCAGCCAGAGTGGGAGAGATAAGATGCCCATAGTCTTCCTGCATAGCCCCATTTGACAAAGGTCTGAAATGAAAGAGGCAGACATGCACACTGCCAGGTTTATGTTAGATGAAAGGATAGAGAAAGGGAGGTGAAGGGGAAAAGTCTGGTAGGATTCAAGGCCCTACACCTGCTGATAGTCATAGTCTCTAGAGCTTGCCTGGACAGGAAGGAAGAAACTGGGACCATCATGTGGCCTTAGTGCTCCCAAGAGGCTATATCGTAAGGCAAGCCTGACCTAGCAGGCTTTTCTCATTATATTTGAGATCCAGTGGGGTAACCATACAACCCAGATTTTGCTTGTTAGCCCGGCATAATGACTGTTGCCTCCTTTACTCTCAAAAGTGTCCCAGGTTGGCCAAATTAATTTTACAGCAGGGGAGAAAGGATGAATCAGGTCTTACTGTCTGGGGAATTCCAGAAGATCCTGCCTCTCTGTGCCACCCAACAGAGACCCAGAAGTTGATCTGGGGATCTTGCTAACCCTCTAAGAAAGGACTGTACTCTGTCTAGGGGCACTGAGTGGAAGAGCAGCAAGGAGGAGGGAAAGCAGTGATGGAGATTCCAAGCCCCCATAGTCTTCCAGTAGAGTCATCAGGATCCCAGCACCATCCTTCTCTCTATGCCTCAGCATGGAAGAAACTAAAGGGCTCTAAACAAGGAGTTAAGATGTTGGGTTCTTCACCTCTCTGTCTATCCTACTCCCCCAGATCTGCCAGTGACCAAGTCATTTTTTTTTTTAAACTCTGAGCCACTATGCCAATTAAGGCAAAGGGAAAACCAGTCAAATCCACCCATCTCCCAGATCAGCCTCTTACCCCAGCTTCAGTCCCATCCTCAGGGCCAGAATTCCCTTGCCATCCCAGTGAATGGTCCATGCCCCCACGCGTCAGACTCCTGTCAGAAAACTCTAGGTCTGATTTTATCTCCAGGCAAAGTTCCTCTCACAGAATCAGCCTTGGTCCTGATGCTCTTGTCATCTGGCTTCCTGGCTTGCTCCTTTCCCTTTTGCTTTGACCCTACTCCATCTCTGGCAGGGGCCACAAAAGCCTGTGGAATGTTCTTCCCCACCCCCTCTTCTCCTCCCCTTCCCTTGGCTTCCTACCCTCCAAGGACAACTCAGATGCAGCAGGATCACTTGGTTCCTCTGCAGTCCCCTCCTCTTCTGATTGGCTACCCCATGATGACTGCTTGCTTCTTACCCTGGAGGTATAGCACCAACCTCCCAAGTCAGTCCACAGCATAGGCTCTAGATCCACTTAACCTCTCCTGTTAACCCCTAAGGACACTGAAGCCTGACTGAGGACTAGAATATATATCCCCAAGGTGACCTGGCCCATGTAAGTACATGAGAACAGCCAACCAAGAAATCAACCCTGAATGATTCCAATCTCCAGTCTCTCTTTTACCTTAACTTAAGCAATGCTGAAGAAGGATGGGAATACCCATCTCCTGGGCACAGGCTCCATGGGCACTGTCTCACACTTCTTCCCAAGTATCTCTTTGTCATCTCCCCACCCCATACATACCAAAAGATGCTGTTGTCCCACTGTTCAGAAAACTATGAGATTTCCCTGCAAGGAACCCCAGCCACAAAGGAGTCTTTGCTCCAGGGACTCCAGCCATCCAAAGATAGGTGACCATGACCTCTGGACTCATTAAGACTTGTATCAATCCCACCACCCCATCTATTCTAGAGTCAATAGGAAAGCTGCTAACACTTGGTTTGTGAGGAGCATGGATTCAAGTCAAAGGGAAGCTGGCATCCGAGAGGCTTCAGAGCTGTCACTTAGGTGGGAGACCTAAATTGAGGGGTCTTGGCTGAGAATATACAGATGGAACATTTTACTAGGATTCAGGAGGCCAGTGTTTCTAGTTGAGGAGGAAACACCTTTTGTAGTATGAATAGTGTCTTAATTTTAGGACCTTAATGTCCAATTGCCCTTCCTTGCCTCTGGGGAAGCTGGGGAGAGAAAGCACTCCCAGATAACAGATACCTCAAATTGCTCTGAACCTGAAAGGGTGCAAAGTCATAGGATGGTCATTAATGTCCTCTTGTCATTCTTTTCATGTGGAAATTTAAACTTTCTGGGGCTCCATCAGCTGGAGAGATCTCCCCATTGATTTCCAAGGACACTGCTTGACAAGAAGACCCTCATAGAGGAGTCTGGACTGACATGAACTAGGCAGCCCAAGCACTTGGCTGGCTGGCTTAGGGGCAGGGGCCTGACACTGAATGCCTGGGTGGTGGTGGGGGTAGCTTTAATTAGAAAAGAGCCAAGTGGCCTCAGCCAAGCTGAAAGTACTAAGACCTCAGCTGAACTGAACTTAGTGTGTGGCAGAAAAAGCCCCTCTGGTTCCTGCTGGGCTTAGTAAGGGGGATAATCAGCACTTCCCCAGGCTTCTATCTTAGAACAATCAGTCTGTCCATCTCCCATGTGGGTAGAAGGTGAGGGACTGGGGTAAGGACAAGCCTGACTTGGCCTCTCCCAGGAATCCCCTTTGGGGAAGGTCATAGGGTCACCAATACTTCCTGGCCAAGACTTGGGACTTTGCCTAGACACAGCTTGAGATGTAAGAACCTAAACGGTTGGCCTTTCTAGACCTAAAAGCTTCTGATTCCACAGGGCCCAGAGAGTTCCCTTTTGGCAGCTATTCACAGCCAACATCCTGCTCTGTGGGCTGGTCATCAGTCCCCTCCTGCTGTAAACAGATCGTGCCTCCCAAAGCAGAGGGCAAAGTCTGGAAAAGAATGGTGTGTGGCCAGAAGACCCTGATACCCATGTTTGTGGCAGGATCTGGCAACAATAGCAGAAAAGCTGGCATCCTCAGAGCCAAACAGCAAAACTTTTATCTGGGGTTACAGCTTCTCTTCCCAGGACAGGCAGGTGGCAGGAATGAGTCCCCCCCAACCCCCACACACTGCAGAGGGACCTAGTTTTGGGGGAGGGGGGGAATGGATGCTGCAGGAGGAAGCACTCCCAAGGTTTTGGTCTGGGAGGAAAAGGAATACAGCTGAGCCATCCTACCCCTGCAGGATAGTGAGCTGGGCTTCCCTCTTCCCCTCTGAGAAAGGCCCAGGGGATGTGGAAATGAGGGAGCATGCATGTCATCATCCCTTTTAGGGAAGCCGCAGTGTTTATGGATTTCCTCTGTTTTCCAAAGGAAGTTGGTGCTAGGGTAGGTGAGAGGAGGGGTCATCCAGGTAACACAGCTGATTTGGGCAAAGGTGGAGACCTCCACCATCATCAACACTGATGATGGCACCAGAGGCTCCAATCTACCGGCAGGCACCTCCCACAGAACCGACCTATTCCTTCCTCCAAGACCTTGGGCAGCACCGTGGGGGTCGCGGCCAGCTAGTAGCTGCTTGGCTCAGAAGGAAAAACTTGGGAGCGACGCAGCACCGAGCACCAGCTGTGCCTTGTCTGAATCCGGGGCTAGCGACAGTGCTCCCCATCCCTGCCCAGCGGGGGCTGCGGTGCCCTGGGTCCCCCTCAGAGTCGCCCGGGAGTGGCCAGCCCAGCGCTGCCCACTCTCCTTACCATGGTTGCAGCCCGGGCTGGGCCGGGCCGGCTCCGCCTGGACAGCGACCCGCAGAGGGAGCTGCGCGCCGACCTCCCAGCACCGCCGCTGGTCCCCACCCGCCTCACCGAGTGCGGACCTCTGGCGGCGGGGCGGGGCGGGGCTAGTCAGGCCCCAGGCGGGGCCTGCACCTCGGCAGCCTGGGTGGGTGCGGGCGTGAGATCCAGAAGCTAAGGGCAGGATTAGGGCTTTGGCCTCTCAGCCCAGAGCTGCTCTGGGCACCTGGTCTCTCCAGAATGGTCTCTTCAGGCAGTGCTGCACTGCGGGGACTTGAGCCAGTTCCCATGGGAAAATAAACCGGCACACCTGACATCCCTGGAAGATGCTGCCTTTGCAGGGGAGAGGAGTTGTTGCAGGCGGCGGAGAGAAAACATTAGTTAACCGGGAGATACAGCAAGGGTTTAGGGAAATAAACT